AATCAGATACAAAAGAGACACCACTCAACTCTTTCGTAAACCATACACTTCGTATTTCATACTCCATTCCTGGTATAGTTAGTAGTTGTCATACCATTAACCAGTACCTGGTGTACTATGTACATAGAATGATGGATGTTATAGATTTGAACTTCAATTGTAAATTATGCTCATGAGATCATAGGTTCATGTAATCATATAAATCAATGTGATTGGCTGGGCAATATAAGTAAATCAGATAAATCAATAATGTAATAATTAGATAATTTATTATAGTAGCATTTAAGTTAGATTGCATAAGATATGCATCATTGATAGAGAGTCTTGTAGTTTGTACATAATCTTGCATAAAGTATATAGTCATCAATTTGTAGTCTAATAAATTTGAATTTAGTATATATAAAGAAAAGAATTACTAATAAAGGCTAGCTTTGCTCTCACCAGTAATTAAGAAGTGTCCAAACATAAATAAAATGCCAATTTTCTGTAGAATTAGTTTCAGAGTGTCTTAAGTATTGTCATATAAGTAATGCAATACAGCGTAGAATAGTTGAGTCATAAATGACATTAAAGTCTATTTGGCATAAAGTAAATGAAACCTAGGCAAAGCTGTATCAGCATAATTGAGATAAATTAATAGTAGAAACATGCTCACAAAACAAGGAAGAACCTAGACAATATTAAAACCTTCTCATAAATAATCTCACAAAAAAAAAAAAAAACTTTTTTTAACATCATATATTTAACCAATAAATAAATAAAACAATACTTATTTTTAATAATATGGAAGGTTCTGATTTGATCAAACCTATCTATTATGGCCATAATAATGAAAATATTAAAGAATTTTTTGAAGACTATAAGACATATAGTGCATTGAAGGCATGTGATAATGACAAAAAGCAACAGGTAATAAGGCTTTATGTTGCTAATAATCTAAAACTTTGAATACATAAACAAATTAAGGCCAAAAAAACTTGACTAAATTAAAAACAACAATTATTAGTAAAGGTCAAGTGTCTTGCAACATAGAAGAAAAATTAAAACAACTAAAGAATGTTAAACAAAAACTAAATGATACAATTAAAGCATATACAAACCAGTTTAATGCAGGTGCAAAGTTGTAAAAAAATATATAAAAGGTCTTGAAAAAAGACAATAGTATATTCAAGAATTAATAAAACCTTTTAGAGAAAGAGTTGAAATGCAGTATTCTGAAACATATAAAGACACAAAAAGTAAGTTTTAAAAGTAAAAAATACAGTAAGGACAATGAGCATGTAATAAAGAGTTCTATTTGAATTACAAATATAGAACAAAACATAGTCAAATCAGATATAGATGATCTTATCACAGCTTTTGATACTTTGAAATTTTACTGCTTTGGTCAAAATCAAGATCCAGATAATCAAATTGATAAAATAGAATCAAGTATTAAAGAACTAACAAAGGCTATCCAAGATCTAAAAGAGACTAGGGAGCCAACCATTTATCATGACCAAAGAGGCAAACTAAAACCTTGATAATCAAATTAGCCAAATAGACCTATAGAAATTATAAATATAATCAGAAAGGGCATATTTCATGAAATTGTCTTACCAAAACAATGCAACCTCAATCTAATAACCAAATAAATGCTGTAAGGAACAATCAACCTGATAATCCTAAGATTAAAGATATAAATATATATTGTCTTGAGGTTATAGAAACAACAAAAGATAACAGTGGTGAATATCTAAGGATAAAATTAAAAGATGATTAGTCATTGTAAGATGTGAGAAATCTTAGAAAAAGGAAACATATAAGGTAGGCATACCTATTTCCGGGGATCGTCCTATTTCCGTGGATTCTACATTCACCTATTTATTGTCTGACAAAT